TACATGAGTATTTTTTGTGCAGTTTAATGTTTGATGTTTGCACTGCTGCAACTGCAATTATCGGACTTGTTCGATGTATACCAAATATATAAATATATACAATATAGCCAATACGATATATACGATATATACGATATATACGATATATATATATATATATATATATATATATATATATATATATATATATATATATATATATATATATATATATATGATGTAGTAAATGATTAGCAAAAAATATCAAGAAAACAGGATTAATTTCATTTTTATTAAAAATTATTTTGTGTTATCTGATATTGGTCTTTGATTTAGAATGAAATGATTTATTGAGTATACATACATATAAATAAATAAATAAATAAATATATATATATATATATATATATATACATATATATATATAGGTCAACAATATTTTGTGAACAAAGTCTGGAGTTACCATGTACTAAACTAGACCAATAGAAACAATGGGAGATAACCTCAAAGTTGTTCAGGTGTGATAACAGCCTAACCTGCTAGTTACCTGCAAGAGGCGACCTTCTGCGTGTTTAGACTGCAATTAAGGCACCGTTGCTTATAAAGTTCATCTACCCCATCGATGCACGGCACCGTCCTACTGAGGGCCTATAACCACACTGATGTGTAGCTTGTTCATGTGTTGTGGTTGGTGTGTGATTAACTGATGTGTAGCTTGTGAATGTGTTGTGGTTGTTGTGTGATTAACTGATGTGTAGCTTGTGAATGTGTTGTGGTTGTTGTGTGATTTAATGTGTTCTGTTGGTCGTGTTATTACCACTGTTGTTAGGTTTGAGGTTTTGGCTGCAGGGGCCTACATTAGATAACCCATGACCGCAGTGCCGAGAACTAGTTTGGATTACCTCCCTCCCAGGCTCGTAAATCTGACGTCACCTGAATGTGGCGAGTTCACTTACGTGTCAGATAAATCACAAGATGTCTCACCACTTCTCACCACGTCTCACCATCTCTTATTAGTTGAACTATAATTCTCACTTCTGACCCATTTTCCACGTTCTCAACAATTTCAGTCTCACCTATTTCACCAGCCATCACTAGTCTCACTAATTCTCATGGTCTCACTAATGTTCCAATAATTCGCATGGTCTCACTAATGTCTCACTAATTTTCATAGTCTCACTAATGTTCCACTAATTCTCATGGTCCCACTAATGTCTCAACAATTCTCACGGTTTCACTAATTTCACTCTCACTTATTCTCACTTTCACCGCTGCTAATTGCATGCACAGTCTACTGATATACACTTCTTGAGAATAAGTGATAGTGAAATTAGTGAGACCTTGATAATTATTTTAAAAAAAAACTGGCATATGCATCATCATCTACCTCGATAAAATGACGCAGCCATTCAAACTTGAACATGACATAGCAATAGCTGCCTGGTCTTAAAATGAATTACCTTAATCACGCTTAATGCTTTGCTAAATACATTTCCACATGCGTTCGTTTTATTATCACAATAGTTGTTTTTATATCAAAGGAACCGTTAAAATGTAGGTTAGATTGTAATAACCCCTCATCTCAAAAGTAGGGTAGATTTGGGCTAACATGGCACTTTAGGGTAGATTGGGCTAACATGGCACTTTAGGGTAGATTGGGGCTAACATGGCACTTTAGAGTAGATTTGGGCTAACATGGCACTTTAGGGTAGATTGGGGCTAACATGGCACTTTAGAGTAGATTGGGGCTAACATGGCACTTTAGAGTAAATTGGGGCTAACATGGCACTTTAGAGTAGATTGGGGCTAACATGGCACTTTAGGGTAGATTGGGGCTAACATGGCACTTTAGAGTAGATTTGGGCTAACATGGCACTTTAGGGTAGATTGGGGCTAACATGGCACTTTAGAGTAGATTGGGGCTAACATGGCACTTTAGAGTAAATTGGGGCTAACATGGCACTTTAGAGTAGATTGGGGCTAACATGGCACTTTAGAGTAGATTGGGGCTAACATGGCACTTTAGGGTAGATTGGGGCTATCAACCAAGTCACCTCATATGTAGGGTAGATTGGGCTAACTTGTCACCTCATATGTAGGGTAGATTGTGCTAACAATTAGGTCACCACATATGTAGGGTAGATTGGGCTAACAATTAGGTCACCACATATGTAGGGTAGATTGTGCTAACAATTAGGTCGCTTTAAATGTAGGATAGAAAAAGTTAACAACCAGATGCTCAGCAGGTGGCGCTGTGTGGTTGTCACGTGGTTTACTTCCAGTGCATCAAATCTAAGTTCATGACCTAATTCACGATGTAGTGGTACATTCTGTACCTATTAAAATTATACTAGCACGAATCAGTAGGCTGCCTATTACGTCTAAACACATTCTCCCCCCCCCCCCCCCCCGAACGAAATAGATTTTATTTAGAAAATATATACTTTTACCAGTGTCCTACCCCGTGAAAATTTAGTCTGCCCCCCCCCCCACCCCCACCTAAGAAAAGTCTGAATGAAACACTTCTTGTAAAATCTGAAAACATCAGACTTGAGCAATGTGAAAAGTGTTGATGTGACTTATGTTAAAATGTTAGACGTGAAAATGTGAAAATTCTAGACATAAAAATGTGAAATGTCGGACGCCGTTTGCGTGTTCTAATCAGCAGGATGTAACAAATTTGGGAACTTCCTTTCTAAAGGGTGAGATCCAAGTGAAATAGGTGAACCTTTGACCCCTGTGGCATTCAGGAAATAAAATGGCTGCCCCGGCAAACACAAGAACAGGCAGACGATTAGGGCGCACGAATTCCTTGAGGGGCAATACCCGCTGTTAGATCTGATTGCTAAGGTCCAGGGCGAACTTTGGCAATATGTTGTCATGGTGTGGCGAACTTTGGCGATTGGGCATCGTGTTATGGCTAACTTTGGCAATCTATTGTCATGTTTTGGCGAACTTTGGCAATATGTTGTCATGGTGTGGCGAACTTTGGCGATTGGGCATCGTGTTATGGCTAACTTTGGCAATCTATTGTCATGTTTTTGGCGAACTTTGGCAATATGTTGTCATGGTGTGGCGAACTTTGGCGATGTTGTCATGTTGTGGCGAACTTTGGCAATATGTTGTCATGTTGTGGCGAACTTTTGCAATATGTTGTCATGGTGTGGCGAACTTTGGCAATATGTTGTCATGTTGTGGCGAACTTTGGCAACATGTTGTCATGTTGTGGCGAACTTTGGCAACATGTTGTCATGTTGTGGCGAACTTTGGCAACATGTTGTCATGTTGTGGCGAACTTTGGCAATATGTTGTCATGGTACGGCAAACTTTGGCGATGGGGCATCGTATTATGGCGAACATAGGCAATATGTGTCATGTTGTGGCGTACTTTGGCGATGGGGCATCGTGTTATGGCGAACTTTGGCAGTATGTTGTCGTGTTCGGACGAACTTTGGCAATATGTTTTCATGTTGTGGAGAACTTTGGCAGTATGTTTTCATGTTGTGGCGAACTTTGGCAATAGGGCATTGTGTTATGGCTAGCTTTAGCAAAATGTTGTCATGTTCTAGAAAACTTTATGTTGTTAAGTTTTGGCGAGATTTGACAATATGTTGTTGTGTTAAGCCAAACTAGGGCCATATGTTGTCGTGTTGTAGAGAACTAAAATAAGTTGAGCATGAAACCGGAAGGGGCGTGTCTGTTAGAGACGTCTAACTGTGTCAGCCGGCTCAGGTTCATCATCTCATGGTGGTCCGTAAACTTGAATCGCACCCAAGTTGTGTAGCCTCTAATGGCATGTAGACCAGGTGAAGTAGAGCTTATGTATATATGCGGTCAGTAAATGACTTCAGGTGACAATAAAAATTAAACTAGGCCATAGAAAGCAGATATATTAGATAGACAACTGGCATAATAGACACGAGACACATATTTAAGACACATGAGACGTCATGCACAGTCCGAAGACACATTAGATACAGACAAGACACATGAGACACATACAAGACACATGAGACACATACAAGACACATTAGATATAGACAAGACACATTAGACACATACAAGACACATGAGACACAGACAAGACACATGAGACACAGACAAGACACATGAGACACAGACAAGACACATGAGACACAGACAAGACACATGAGACACAGACAAGACACATGAGACACATACAAGACACATGAGACACAGACAAGACACTTTAGACACAAACAAGACACATTAGATACAGCTAAGACACATTAGATACAAACAAGACACATGGGACACAGACCCAAGATACACTAGACACAGACCCAAGACACATTAGACACAGACAAGACACATAAGACACAGACAAGACACATGAGACACAGACAAGACACATGAGACACAGACAAGACACATTAGATACAGATCCAAGACACAATAGCCACAGATCGAAGATACATTAGACACAGACACAAGACACATTAGACACAAACAAGACACATTAGACACAAACAAGACACATTAGACACAGACCCAAAATATACTAGACTACATACGTAGACCGACAACACAATTGGCAAGAAACACTGTGCACAGGTAGGGCGTTACCTTTACCAGATAAACCCCCAGACAAAGAAACAAGGGCCGTAACTGTAACCAAATTGTCCTTGAGATCGACTTCCCACCAACCAGAGTTATCTACTTGTCCTGGCATCGCTCGATGGAGCTCTTGTAAAGCATCTTTAAAGTTGTATTGGTTCAAACTTTTAAGATCCACCCAGCACTGATGTGTACCTGAGTCACGGTGGGGAAACATAGGCGGCTGGACATAGTGCTGACCACACTTGTATGCCGAGTCCATTGAAACAGATGAACTCTACTTATCTTTTTCTTGTGCATGAACGAGAAAAGATGTTGAACTATAAAAATGTGTCCCTCATTGCCGCAAATATTCTTTATATCACTGCTATAATAATTTACAAAATATATTATATTTGTTATAACAGTCACCTATGTTTCTCCACAGATAACGAAAGTATAAAAAAACAGAATGTGAAAACAAGCTGGTCTAACGCAAGAGAGAACTCAACTTTCCGGATTTTCCCATTGTGATGTCACACCAAATGGTGTAGATATTTACGTACTATGTATGGTCGTCGTTCCTCTTTGGATTTTAGCAGTAGTTATAGATTGGTAAGATCAATATATCATTGATAGTTAAGATCCTTAAATCATTGATAATTAAGATCATTAACATTGATATTTAAGATCAATAAATCATTGATATTTTAAACTTGATATACGATACGGCGTCAAATGGGGGACACAATTTTCTAGAGACCATCGGAAAAAACGCTCTGTACCATATTTTTATAAGCCCTTATATTTAATATAATTTTCTACGAAATTTTTTTAAATTAAATTTCTAATAAAAAATAAAATATAATAAAAAATAAAAATCTGCAAGGGCTTTGAGCCAACTATGCTAATTCATCGGCGCCACCCTGTAAATTAAAGGCTTTTTACGAGATAACCCCCCCCCCCACACACACACACACACTCACACACTCACAAGATAACACGAAACCTTAACCTACTCCTCCCCCCCCCCGTCCCACCCCTTGACAGACACACTAACAAAACACTCAGCCTCACATATACACGTGATAACACTGACACAAACACGACATAAAACTCACTCATACACACATACACACATAACATATACACGAGATAACACTGACACAATTACAACATAAAACTCACTCATACTCACACAACATATACACAACCTTTATAAGACATATATTTCAAGGTTGCATGTAGAGTCAAGTTTGCCGAATATCTCACAATCCCGAAGAAGAGACATTCATATCCCAAACATCCCACAATCCCAAAGAAGCAACATTCATATTCCAAGTATCTCACAATCCCAAAGAAGCAACATTCATATCCCAAGTATCTCACAATCCCAAAGAAGCAACATTCATATCCCAAATACATAACAATCCCAAAAAAGCGACATTCATATCCCAAACACAAAACAAACTTATTTTGTATACCAAATATCCCAAAATCTCAAAGAAGAGAAATTCTGATCCTAAATATCACACAATCCCAAAAAGGGACATTCCGATCCCAAATATCCCACAATCCCAAAGAAGAAACATCTATCCCCAAAAATCCCAGATATTAAAGTTACCTTTCGGAGATGTCAGAGGAGGTAGAGTTCACATATTTCTGTGACTTCGGCCTATGAAAGTGTACCAAACCGTGCTGTCGCCTCGGCAACTTTCCTCAAAGTGAACCGAACACATGACTTTCGGTTGTTAGCAGTCGTGCCCTCTTATGTATATCTACGCTTCATTCGTCCCAAAGCCTTTAAAACCTAACCTACAGAGCAGAAATATCTGCTTCATATTTCAATTACAGGTTAAGTATGTTAAAAGCCCGACATTTCTTGCAGTGCAGTCTTTCTTCACCCGTCCCAATTAAATCGTCTTCAATCAATCCAAATTATTAATACTCTCTGGGTTTTCCCCATCGCTTGCTTGTCATTGCGTATTGTTATGCCCCCTGCGTCTACTGTAATTATCCCCCTTTAATGTATGTCTATCTGAGAGAAAGAAAAAAAAAGCAGGTTGCCTCCTACTTTGGCATCAGGCTGAGATGTGTTCCAGCCAAGAAATAAAAGACGAACTGGTAGCATCGTTAGGCATGAGAACATCTGTAAACTGTGACTTAGACGATGATAGCTCTCTGTACTTGACTGTCTAGCGTGTTTGAGGTGTAATACTTTCATGTGGTACACTCATACTAGCTCCCCATGTCAGTCTATGTTGTCATATTGTCAGTAGTGTCATCATACTAGCTCCCCATGTCAGTCTGTTGTCATACTGTCAGTAGTGGCATCTGGATTTACTGGGCAGGAAAAGAACTTTCCCATTATAATCATTACACTCATACAACACGGTGAAGACAACATTGGTCTCATTAACACAGTAATTACAAGTTTATCCACAGTTTTTGTACAAGCATGGAATATTATTTTTTTTAGTATGGGAACTTTTAGATTTTTTTAGTGTATTAAAAAGAAGGGTTGGGGGGGGGGATGCATAACACAAAACTGTAGGCGATAAGTTTTATTTATTGGACAAATAGTCGTGTCTTAGGGGGTTATCTACCTTGACTAAATTATGTTTTGATAACCTAATTCGTTCCACGTCCACGTTTGATCACTGGGGGTGGAGGATGGTTAAGTTCTAGTTGTTGTTTTAGTGAGTAGGTCCCGGGGTGTTGCTGGTATAGTTGGGCAGGTAGGGGGAGTGGAAGTGGGGGTCTTTGTGTGGGTCTAGATGTGAGGGTAGTTGTGTGGGAGTATGGTGGTGCTGTGGTGTGGTGTGATGGGAAAGATTGACTTGAAGGATATAGCAGTTATGGTATAACTTTAGTTTGGAAGAAAGGTCGTGTTTTTACTTATAAAATGGTGCATTTTTGGAAGTCTAAACAACTATTTAGAAATAAATCTAGCTTTTATGAAAATGTTAACACAACAAATAAAGATTACACACACACACACAAACACACACACACACACACACACATATATATATATATATATATATATATATATATATATATATATATGTATGTATGTATGTGTGTGTGTGTGTGTGGTGTAATCATTATTTGTTGTGTTAAAATTTTATATATATATATATATATATATATATATATATATATATATATATATATATATATATATATATATATATATATATATATATAACATTCACATCTTAAAATTGTAAGCAATGAAAGCGGCAAGAACGTACCGACGCATTTATTGTTATCTAACGTGAGACAGCTTTCATTTTAGGGATCCATGGTGGCGGGGGTACCTCTCCCTTCCTCACCTCAACCCTTTCCGTGCATACTATTCTGGTTTGAGGTAAACGTTGCTAAAATTTGAACCTTAACAAAATCCTTATCAGACTTGTCGAGCATTATCTACCTGTTATCTACCTGTTATCTACCTGTTATCTTGTCCCGACGTTTCTTGTGTGAAGGCTACAAGAGCGATGACTGTGATGTTTCAAAATCTCTTAGTCGCGAGATGAGCAAGTTTGTTTTTGAAGTGCTTGAGAGTTGCGAGATGAGTAAGTTTGATATTGAAGTGCTTGAGAGTTGCGAGATGTGCAGGTCTGATGTTGAAGTGGTTGAAAGTTGCGAGATGAGCAAGTTTGATGTTGAAGTGCTTGAGAGTTGCGAGATGAGCAAGTTTGATGTTGAAGTGCTTGAGAGTTGCGAGATGCGATATGAGCAAGTTGGTTTTGACGTGTATATAATGTAGTTGTGAGCGCTTTTAATATTGAGTGTATACCATGAGAAATGGGAAAGGCTTCAGTAAAACAAATGTAGAAAAGAGGGAAATTAATTAATATTTGTAACATACATTTTTACTTTAGTAATAATACTTTAGAATACCCCGGATAATCGGGATATAAGCTACAATTCACGATAACGGGAACACTTGTTATAGTTCATGGATAAAAGAAGCTATTGTTAACAAAATTCTTGCGTAGTTTGCATATCTTAAATGGTAATTGAGATAATTCACATAGGAATTATGTAGGCTACATATAGAATGATAACATCCATTATTTTTAATTTCCAATTTTAACACCAGCTCCTTGTTTTCGCCTTAATTATGTTTACAACCTCCGTGACGTCACTAGCAACTGGTGTTGACAAGCACCCGCCTCCAGACACTAATTAGCATAATTAGCTATTGATGAATGTCCGATGATAATGTACACAGTGGGGATCCGATGCGAGATATGACGAGAATTGACTTTTTGTTAACAGCGGGTGGAGCAGGGGTGGATAACTCTGGTTTTTTGTTTTAAATTTTAAAAATCTTCAAGGCAGGTAAAGAGATTCGTACTTAAATGGGAGGGGGGAGGGGCGGGGGTTAATGTGCGGGCGTTGGTCGAATCGTTGCTCTGAATGTGGTAAGTGGATACGTGAATGAGTTTTTATTTCTGGATCTTCCCAGGTCGTATCCGCACCTACACGCTTTGATCATGTGACGTAATTGGCTTGCGGTATCGGTAAAATAGAAGTCACGTGTGCTCTCATTCACCTGGCGTAAAAAACCGAGCCAGTACCAACTTTATGGTGCACGGGTCATGGTTAGACCACATTAAACAGACCACACCGATGAAGTAGCTAATGGGGATTGGTGTGGGGGTGGGACTTCGTGGGGGGGGGGCTCCATTTTTTAATTAAAATAAGCGCTATTTTACCATCAAGAAATAAAATACATTTTAAAAAATTAAAACTGAAAGTTAAACTGAATAATAAAATGATTGTCGATATATTCTATTGGCAAAGGGTCTGTGTACCTGTCCACAAAATGTATGCTGCTACATGTTGCTATAGCAACGAGTCTCAAGTTATAAGTCTAGTAGAGATTATCTCCTGTTTGTATGGATCTTGTCCAGACTGTGTTTTCTGCCGTGTCTGTCTTCTGTCAATCTTCTAACGTATCTGTCTTTTGTCGTGTCAGTCTTCTGCCGTGTCTGTCTTCTGTCAATCTTCTAACGTATCTGTCTTTTGTCGTGTCAGTCTTCTGCCTTGTCTGTCTTCTGTCAATCTTCTAACGTATCTGTCTTTTGTCGTGTGTCTTCTGCCGTGTCTGTCTTCTGTCAATCTTCTAACGTATCTGTCTTTTGTCGTGTCAGTCTTCTGCCGTGTCTGTCTTCTGTCAATCTTCTAACGTATCTGTCTTTTGTCGTGTCAGTCTTCTGCCGTGTCTGTCTTCTGTCAATCTTCTAACGTATCTGTCTTTTGTCGTGTCAGTCTTCTGCCGTGTCTGTCTTTTGTCGTGTCAGTCTTCTGCCGTGTCTGTCTTCTACCGTGTCTGTCTTCTGTCGTGTCAGTTTTCTGTCAGCCTTCTACACTGTCAGTCTTCTGCCGTGTCAGTCTTCTGCCGTGTCAGTCTTCTGTCGTGTCAGTCTTCTGCCGTATGAGATGGTCAGGGAAAGAAACAAAAAACGCCGTTAACTGGCTCCAACTAGTTACTCTCATATCACGTATAATATAACAAAATATAACTTAAGTTTTTGTATGTTTGGTTATAGCCTACTACAGGAAATTTGTAGACATTTTTTTTTTGTTGTGATAAATTTATTGCTTTATAATTTTCATAATATCATCAACGAGTTTTTCTTTAAAGAAACAACAACCCTCTTAACCAAAGGTTTTTATTTAATGTACTTGAGCAAAGCGGAAACGGCCAGATTTTTGCATACTTGATGTAAAATTTTATCAGTCAAAAAGCAATATTTTTCGGGGATTAAACATTAGTTTTCTTGACTTGTAGACTTGCCAGGAAAGATAGAAGCAAGTTATTTATTTTGGTTTGAGGTTTAAAAAAAAACAACTAAAGATTACTGGAGGATTCGCATCATGGCCGAGCTAAAAAAAATTTGGCGTGGGGTGTAGTTGCCTTTTATCTTATCGGCAGACGATAGAAATAGATGAAAAGTCGTCTGATCAGGTCTAATAAAATCCTCTCTTTTTGACGATGACCTTTGAAAAAATATTTAAAAAAAAACAGAACATGACGTAAAATCTTCCACTTTTAATGGAATCTATTTATAGATGAACTTGAGAAGATTTACCAAAACTTTGTTTTGGAAGGGCGTGTGGGTTGGGGGTGGGAGGGGCGGGGTGGGAAGGGCGGGGTGATTAGATACTGAGGTCTAATCTGTATGGTTTTTTTTAAAGTTTATTTTGGTTTAGAGGATATTTTTTACTACTTGGTTTGAAGAGTAATTGTATGATGAGCCGAGTTTACCCTTGTGAAGTACCTGGATGTACAGGTAGAAAAAATGATGCAGGTGGGTTGGGTAAATAATTAGGTGAGTGGATGTTGTTAAAAAAAAGATGGAGGCTGCATCAGTACGTGTAAGAAGACAGTAGGCGTGTATGTATGTTTGGGAGAAAGGTACTCGTGTTTGCTTTAATTTACAATTCAGGTTTTAGTTTAGCCGATCCTTCTACAAAAAAAAAACGTTAACACCGTGTGTGTATGTGTTTGATAGGGAGCATAAGTGTATGTGTGTATATGTTTGCATGAGAGCATAAGCGTATGTGTGTGTATGTGTAACAATTTTTATTTAACTTTTTAATAATACTATATGTAATCCTGAAGTGACCAGTGTTTCTTCCAGACCCTTTTCTCCGGGGAGGCACTTGGAATTTCTTTTTTTTTTGGGGGGGGGGGGGGGCGGACTAACATTTTCGGGGGGGGGGGGGGGGGGCGGACACTGTTAAAAGTATATATCATCTAAATCAGTGGTTCCCAACCTTTTTCGAGTGGCGACCCCCTTTTATAAAAATTAAGTGACCCGCGACCCCCATAGAATTAAAAAGCCGAAATTTGTATGGAAATAATAAGCACTAAAATAAGATTTTCTAGTAGACTTTCAATATGAACTACTCTTGATAACTGTTTTAATACCATGAGTAAAATTGCATACTATTAACTAAACATTCGCGGTTAATTTTTTTTAAAGTATTTTTTTTTAACGGCAACCTATGTCATTATCATTATCTTAATTTTGTTTTTAATTGAAAAAATAGTGTTCAAAATAAAATTTAATTCTCGAAAAGTCAATCAATTTTACGTTTGGATATAAACGGTTAATACTACACCAAAATTGTGTCTGAAGTTTTCATCTTACAAATCAAAGAATTCATCTTGTAATTCATCGGGAATGCTGGCAAAATTAAGGGAAGAAGAGAATGGATAATGCGTCAAAACAGATTCTTTTTTTTCAGCTCAGAGAAAAAATAGCGCTGCAGTTCGTTTTCAATAGATTCAAGACAATCAAGATGCCTTGAAATTTCTTCTTTCAAAATTTTAATTATCTCACAATTAGATTCATCTACCACACTGCAGAGTTTCTCAAATTAGCAGTATTTCCAAGATTTTTTTTCTTCGCCGATTTTGCAGCTTTGATAAAAATGCCCCGAGATTATCATGGAAAGTGATAATATTCGTTCATTTTCCCTGAAGCTTCAGGTTATGCTTATGTTAATGTACGAACACATCTGCTAGGTATGATACTCTCTCCAACCACACTATGTCGTTTTAAGTATACCAAAAGGTCTTGTTTCCTTTGCATTTCCAAGAACAATTTGATTTCAGATTTCAATTCAAAAACACGATTCACAACATTTCGTCTGACAGCCAGCGCACTGTAGTGTTGAAGATCAGAACCTCGTGATCTTTATTCAGGTCTTTGCTCAGTTCTTTGAAGGCTCCAGATTTTATATAATTTACGACTTATACTAGCAATGAACTCTTGATGGCGATTGGTGAGGGCAGTGGTTAGGGAGCTAAATCTTTTCTGCTTTCTGAAAGCCCGAGTTTGACCTAACCATAAATAGTGCACCATCCGTACAAACCCTCACAGCCGTTTTAACCCATTTTAATAATCCAATTTTAAAAAAAAAACGTTTTTATTTTCTCCATGCTATCTTCACAAAAGAGCAACTCTTCTTTGCTATCATCTGAATAAATATAGACTAAGACCAGCAACTGCGAACACGAACACGCGTCTGTTGATTTATCAACTTGAAAAGCAAACAATGGTGAAAGCTTAATTTCAATAAAAATGTGTTATTTAACATCTACAGACATGTAAGAATTAACTTCACCATCTTCAACATGCAGCGTTTGATGAGATTTTCTCCTATTGTGTTTTTTTTTAATTGGCATTTTCTGTCGCGACCTCATGTGATGCTTGCACTAATGCTGTGTTTCCTTGGTGAAAACTTCCTGTTCGATCAAGTCTCTGTCGTTTGCAACTAGCTTCATACCGACGAAAGAACTCCATATCTTTTTTGGTGCGTTTCGAATGACTCATATCAAATGACGTTTTAGTTTTGTAGATTTCATAAACTCGTGACTGAGAACAACTTTGTACAGTACGCTTTGCTTCTTCCAGTGATGTTAGTAAAGCCGAATTTCAAAAATTCTTCTAAATATTTATGTTTTGTTTCAAATTACTGAGGTTTAGTATACCAGTTGGCGACCCCCCAGAAAGCCCTTCGCGACCCCCAGGGGGGTCGCGACCCCCAGGTTGGGAACCCGTGATCTAAATTCAGTTTCGTTCGGGGGGGGGGGGGGGGGGAAGGGGTCGATAGAAAAAAAAAGAAAAAAATCTGAAAGTGACTCCTGAAATTGATTTTTGTCTACGACTTAAGTTTTTTTAATGAAAGAAACCATTATGTATGTACACCATTCTTATAGACAAAAAAAAAAGAAAAATAGTTAAGTACGATGGAAGGGGCGGTGGACGACTAACCAATGATCTTTCCCTTTATCTAGCTCCGCCTATTCAAGTCTGACGTCATAAAGCACATCATATTCCCACATTGACGTCACCGCCCTGTGTTTATTTTTTATTTCCCGTCAAACTTATCGTGTCAGATTGAACCAATGGTAGACCTCTCGTTACGTCATCCCTAAGGTACACAGCGGGGATTTTTTCATATTGCAGCAAGTACTGGGAGAAGTAATTGGAATAATAATAATTACCGTACTTATTATTATTATTATTAGTTTCATCATCATCAACAATCATGTTAGATTAATCCGCAGAAAAAAACAACATATTTTTGAGGATATATTGTAAAAAAAATTCCACAATCATAGGGTATATATAATTCATATTTAAGTTAATGTACATCCTACAAACACACACGCAAGTATTCTGTTCTCCGTTAGCTTGACATACACATCTGCTTACCCCCACGCTAAAGCACCGGTTCCAAAACTTTTTCACGTGACTTGCGACCCCCCCCATACAATTAAAAAAGCATAAAAAAATTTATTTGCGTAGTTCTTTAAATTGGATACCCACCAAAAAACTGTCCAAACCCATATATTGGGAATCCATGGGACAAAACGATGTTTATATAAAGGGAAATAACACGAGAAATGTTACCTTTTACTTTAGTATACCAGTTATATCCCTTTATAATAATTTTTTTTATTTTTATTTTTTTTTTTTTATTTTTTTTTTTTTAGTTATAAAGAATTAATTGTAAATTACTATGGGTAAACACATTTCTTTAAAAATATTACCTTTATTTTTTATTGTAAATTGTCACTATATTATCTCACTAACCATAGAGTAACTCCCATTACAGAGTTTAGCCTAGACTGCCTGCATCAGCAAGAATTTTGACAAATGTAGTTACCAATCCACCCCTGAATAACAGAGAAAATATTCAACCATGGTAAAGCGAGTGCTCATTCTATGTTGCATATAGCTTTTCGCTGCTATTCTTTCTGTATACATTTCACATTCAAGTGTTGCTATTGGCTGCTGGATTTGCTTTCGGTGTAAAACTTTTACTCATTGGCTGTCAGCTAGCTATTAATAGCTACTCTACGAGTGTTTTGTGAACTACTTAACAGTTATGTTAATAGATGTTGTAAATGTAAAATAACAAATGTGCTTATGCAACTGTAAAATAACATATGGGTTTGTTGATGTAACTGTAAATAACATGTGTTTTTAAAAACTAGATATCAAAATATAAATGTCTATGTTTTGCAGTGAGAATTAGTAGCATCACGTACTATCGTTAGCGCTACAGCTACACTTGACTAATAATATAATGAGATACAATTCAGTTACACACAGAACTATATTTTATAAGTAACCCAGCAGAACAGAAGATTTTTTTTAAATTTACAGATGTGTTGGCGGCTTTTAGATATAATAAACTAACAACTACTTAATGTTGCTTGTAACTTGTTAATGTTACCGGTAATTGTTATTGTTAATGTTACATGTAACTTGTTTATGTTAATGTTGCTTGTATACTTGGCGTGTCTCGTCTGTATCTATTGTTGCTAGTTGACTATGATCTGCTTCATGTATCTATTGTTGCTAGTTCACTTTGATCTGCTTTACGTATCTGTTGTTGCTAGTTCACTTTGATCTCAGTATTGTCGGTGCTTACTTTAGTGTTTGGAGTTCACGGTCTAGCTATCACCTCGCTGTTTTCTTTACATTAACACCTACTATAGACTAAAATACTATATGTTCATGGTTTCTCATTCTGCCATTGGGTTTAAAGATTTAATAGTCAAATAAAAACAATGAAAAACTGATTGTTAACCCTCTTGTGCCCAGTGTTTGTTATAAGGTCTATAGGCACGGCAAATAAAGGGGAACAAAAAGATTCATTTTTTTAATATCTTATATACATTTTGAACAAGATATATAATATATTTTAGCTATAATCTATATACTGTATTATTATTCTTAATAATGTCGTGTTTTAGGTTCGATGTCTTTACATATGGCCCTTCTCGTTTGTCCTATTTACATTTGTTTTTACTCGAATTAGTTTAAAAATTGTCATTAAAAGATGTGTTGTTTTGTTTTTCAGCCGTCCTACGATAGATATGGGACCTCGTCAACTGGAAGGTCCTATGGCTCGGTAAGTTATCGTCAATGTTTCTCATACCATGTAATATTTCCAGAAAATAACATCACTTTAATCCTCCCCCTCCCGTCCCTCGTATACCCCTCATGTTATTAGCCAAGCGTACTTGTTACCAGAGGAATAATTCGACAAGGGAGCAAACTTTTAATGTAGGCTTCGTGTTTTATTGATTCTGTCCCTTAGATAACTTGAGCTGTTCGTTAGTAGTAACAAACTTTTATTAACAAAAGTTTTTAAAATAATAATTTCATATTAAGGCCAGATGTATCTAAATACACACCCACCCACACACAACTACCCCCCCCCCCCACATATAATATATATATATATATATATATATATATATATATATATATATATATATATATATATATATATATATATATATTTATATTATATATATATATATATATATATATATATATATATATATATATATATATATATATATATAACTGAAGAGGCTCGAGCAAAACACCAGGTAGATAATACTTAATTCATATAACTAACGAAGTACAGTACTACGTATACTTGAAAACAGCAGTGAATTTATACAAAATTATCTATGTGGCCAAGTGGATAAAGCGTCAAGCTTGGCCATTGTTTGTATGAAAGCTAAAAGGCGTGCTGCACATCGTTTGGGGGGAGTTTTTTTTTTTTAATCCAGTTTACTCAATGGTGTAACGATTAATACATGTTTTAATTATTAACATTTTCTTTTTTATTTCTTTTTTTTTTTTTTGTTTGGTGAAATGGCAACCTACAATTACATCTAAATTATAAGCAAGGGTAGATTTTAAGAGGGGAACGAACTGTGGCAAAGGTTTTTTTTTTATCTCGTGTTGGTGGCACGTCTGTTGTGTTTACCTACTAGTACTCACTCCAGATATGTAGGTCACAGCCGCACAACAGAGCTGGTTGTCTTAGTTAATTAATGACAGCTGTGCACTAATTACAGAAAGTAGGTCAATGTGAAGCTGTACTGGGAGAGGGATGAAACGCACTTTGTCTAGTGGCTGTAGTCTTCTTTAATGTTAAGGTGGACATTGGTCATTAGACTTAATGTGGGCACTGGTCATTAGCCTTAATGTGGGCACTGGTCATTAGCCTTAAGGTGGACATTGGTCATTAGATTTAAGGTGGACACTAGTCATTAGCCTTAAGGTGGACACTGGTCATTAGCCTTAAGGTTCGACATTGGTCATTAGCCTTAAGGTGGACAATGTTCATTAGCCTTAAGGTGGACACTGGTCATTAGCCTTAAGGTGGACAATGTTCATTAGCCTTAAGGATCGACATTGGTCATAAGCCTTAAGGTGGACAGTGGTCATTAGCCTTAAGGTGGACACTAGTCATTAGACTTAAGGTGGACACTGGTCATTAGCCTTAAGGTGGACACTAGTCATTAGCCTTAAGGTGGACACTGGTCATTAGGGATAAGGTGGACACTCGTCATTAGCCTTAAGGTGGACAGTGGTCATTAGCCTTAAGGTGGACACAAGTCATTAGCCTTAAGGTGGACACTAGTCATTAGCCTTAAGGTGGACACTAGTCATTAGCCTTAAGGTGGACAGTGGTCATTAGCCTTAAGGTGGACACTAGTCATTAGCCTTAAGGTGGACAGTGGTCATTAGCCTTAAGGTGGACACAAGTCATTAGCTTTAAGGTGGACACTAGTCATTAGCCTTAAGGTGGACACTGGTCATTAGCCTTAAGGTGGACACTGGTCATTAGTCTTAAGGTGGACACAAGTCATTAGCCTTAAGGTGGACACTAGTCATTAGCCTTAAGGTGGACACTAGTCATCAGCCTTAATAAACACACACACACACTCCCTACACCTCCACCGCCTATTCTACTCTCACTTATTACAACTCTGGAAATTGTCAGTCTCCATGTTTTCGAAAAGTCTCCATCCACATCCTCCTATATATCAAAGAGCAGATTAGTAATGCGTTCATCAATCTTGGAGCTACCGTCATAATAGTGAACTACTATCCTGCTTGTTGCAATGTTTCACTGCTGTCTTTTTGACTGGCCAGGTACAATTGTTAAAGTGTCCTCGTTGGCCAGGTAAAATTCTTATGTTCTGCCTAGTTGATCTAGTACAATAGCTGAGGTCTGCCTAGATGGCCAGATTGTTATAGAATGCTTGTTGGCCAGATGAAATTGTTAAATAATGCCTAGTTGGCCAGGTGATATTGTTAAATTATGCCTAGTTGGTCAGGTGAAATTGTTAAATTCTGCCTTGTTGGCCAGATAAAATTGTTAAATTCTGCCTCGTTGGCCAGATAAAATTGTTAAATTCTGCCACGTTGGCCAGATAAAAATTATAAATTCTGCCTCGTTGGCCAGATAAAAATTATAAATTCAGCCACGTTGGCCAGATAAAAATTATAAATTATGCCTATTTGGCCAGATAAAAATTGTTAAATTCTGCCACGTTGGCCAGATAAAATTGTTAAATTCTGCCTCATTTGTCTGCAAAGTGTACCAGGTAAAACTGTTATAGCCTGCACCAAGTCATCTAACCTCCCTGCAATGCAGGAGCCGGTGATGCGCATGCGCCTTACCTAACCTGCAGGAAGTACTCAGGATCGTCTCCCCTGCTCACCTGTTTGATCCTAGCCCCTAAACAGAACCTCACAAATTTATCGCACGTATTTTCCTCCTGATCGACCTTGGATCATTTTTTTCCCTCGGAGAGATTAATCACACTGACGTCACCGAGCTATAGTCTAAAATACGATCAGGTGAATCACTAGGCTCACTACGTCATTAACGTACCGTGACGTCACAACTAACTCACTATGTACCAGAGTGGGGTTGAGAAAGGAAAAAAAAACAATAAACGTCAGAAGAATTTCAAACTGACGTCTCGTCTTAAGGTCTAAAAACAATTTAAAAGCTATATTTATAGCAAAATACGTTTATTTGAAAATTACACGAAATCCGATTATTTCTATCTTTAAAATAAATTTTTCATTATTTTTATTCAATGTTCTTTATAATCTGTTAGAAGACTACGGTTCAAACGTAGTTTGTTTTACTTACTTTTGTTTATGTTTCTTATGAGTGTTAAAAAATGTTAAATCTTCGTTGTTTACTTGATAATTAAACAAATGCACCTGCCTTTACTGGAACTGGTTAACATGCAGTTAATAAAGATTTGGAGTTTGTTCGAGGTTATATAAGTGCTATAGGTTTTCGTGAGTCAAGGTAACGGCGTAAAAAATTAATCATAAAATAATTCAAAGCACTTTTAACTTAGTATTATGTTTACTATCAACATATTTATACATTAAATTAGCAATTCAAGTTTATCGCGGAAGGAAATTGTATTTTCGAATTTAAATTTTCACAACCTTATCTTTTAAAAAAAGATGAGTTCTAGAGGTTGTCTATTTTTGGACATTTTAAGACACGTACTGAGTTTTATTCCCGGGCCAGCGAGCTTTGAGACCGGAAGTGCTGAAATTAGCTCGAGATTTATTTTTTTTCTATTCGGGTGCTCGCAGGCGACAGGGCGCCGGGCGTGGTTTGAAAATAGACTTATCAATTTTGGTGGCGTCGAGATTTCAAGGTAAAAGGCGAGCCAGGGTTTTATGGTGGAGCTTACGATATTTCAAAAGTTCGCTGTGAAATTATTCGCACTCTAAAATTGGGGTAGTTTTGACATCGACACACGGACAGCTCAACCAGGATTAAACCGGGAGTCATTCAGCACTTTAACAGAGCTAGTTTAAACATCGACAAACAGAAAAAATTGACAGCACAACGAGAATTAAACACGAAGTCAGTCAGCACTTTAAAAGATGTAGTTTTAACATCGACAAACAGACACACAGGCATCTCAACAAGAATTAAACAGGAAGTCACCCGAGAGGCGCCATAATAGGATAAGTGACGCTACTTTTATCAGATAACTCGCTACATAGGAAACTTAAGTTATTGTTGCTGTTATGACATTTGGTGATGAATATTTGTAGTGCATGGGTTGTTTACTTGTAAATATAATTTATCAACCCATGGAGTCTGTGTATGTTCATGATAGAAATTTAAAACATCTGTACCGAATGAATAACTCTTTATCACACACTGTTTCCCTAATCCATGGATTATCAATTACCATTTTTTTTTAATCCAATGCTGCAATAACTAAACTTATATTTGAGTTTTAAAACTGGGTACATAAGATCCTTCATCCTTCGACGTTTTTAAAATGTTGAGTGGTTGAGGGTGTGGGGCGTAAATTGGAGTGAAGTGTCGTAGCGTATTGTGGGGGGGGGGGGGGGAGGGGGGTTCAGGGTCGGGGATGCGGACAGAAATTGGAAGTGAGGATGGGATTTTTTAATGTGCCTTTCACCTTAGTGCAAAAGAACTCTGTTAATACAGCAAGTTTGTGCCTAGTGAAACATCAGCGTCTGTTTAAAATTATTTCTTTGATAGTCAAGCTCTCTTCTAAGTATTAATAAATCCGTGTGTAGGCTTAATGATCCATGATCAGAACGTAATTAAAATGTGTGTGACGTCATTTTAATATCAAAGCCGTCACCTCCTAATGATATCCAATAAACGAGTTACTAGTTCATATGCTGACTACTAATATCGACTTAATCATTAAGCTACTTTTTCATTAACCTACTTATTAGCCACTCACGTGTTAAATGAGCCACGTGACGTAGATCTTCTGTAACAGTTTAATGAGATCTTGGATCGTCTGCCAAAACCACGTGATACGTTTCCTGGCGCAGTGGTCGTCCTTGATGAAATGTTTCATCCAACTTGTTACCGTAACGAGGTTAAGTTGTAAAGTAATATGAAACTGGGTTGATACAGTAGTTTACTAGCAGTACAGAAATTCATTGACCGAATTGTGTATTATAAAGGTGAGGTGTGTTATGCGGCCATATTGACCTAGTTACCAAATTTCATGGATACATCGAACATTTCTTGGGTTCGGATGTTGTGATTGCGACCTCAGGGAGAAGTCG